ATGTAATGACCGTCTAACAGGGGCCGCCAAAGACCATCGCAAAACAAATATTCACCGAAGTTATTAAGCAGCGACGAAAATAATTGTATGGTTGGGGGTCGCAACAACATGACGAATTGTATTAAAGGGTCGCCACAACATGAGGAACTGTATTAAAGGGTCGCCACAACATGAGGAAGTGTATTAAGGGGTCGCCACAACATGACGAATTGTATTAAAGAGTCGCCACAACATGACGAATTGTATTAAAGGGTCGCCACAACATGAGGAAGTGTATTAAAGGGTCGCCACAACATGAGAAACTGTATTAAAGGGTCGCCACAACATGAGGAACTGTATTAAAGGGTCGCCACAACATGAGGAACTGTATTAAAGGGTCGCCACAACACGAGGAACTGTATTAAAGGGTCGCCACAACACGAGGAACTGTATTAAAGGGTCTCCACAACATGAGGAACTGTATTAAAGGGTCGCCACAACATGAGGAATTGTATTAAAGGGTCGCCACAACATGAGGAACTGTATTAAAGGGTCGCCACAACATGAGGAACTGTATTAAAGGGTCGCCACAACACGAGGAACTGTATTAAAGGGTCGCCACAACATGAGGAACTGTATTAAAGGGTCGCCACAACATGAGGAATTGTATTAAAGGGTCGCCACAACATGAGGAACTGTATTAAAGGGTCGCCACAACACGAGGAACTGTATTAAAGGGTCGCCACAACATGAGGAACTGTATTAAAGGGTCGCCACAACATGAGGAACTGTATTAAAGGGTCGCCACAACAAGAGGAACTGTATTAAAGGGTCGCCACAACATGAGGAACTGTATTAAAGGGTCGCCACAACATGAGGAACTGTATTAAAGGGTCGCCACAACATGAGGAACTGTATTAAAGGGTCGCCACAACATGAGGAACTGTATTAAAGGGTCGCCACAACATGAGGAACTGTATTAAAGGGTCGCCACAACATGAGGAACTGTATTAAAGTGTCGCCACAACATGAGGAACTGTATTAAAGGGTCGCCACAACATGAGGAACTGTATTAAAGGGTCACGGCATTAGGATGGTTGTTGACCATTGTTTTAGTTATTCTACTTCTGGACTTCGGTCTTGTTACTGAACTTGAGCTTTGCGTCTTCATCCATCTTCCAGATCTTGATGGCCTGTATGCAAACTATTGGTTCCTCGTCTCACAGGCGGATGTACTCTGACTTTGAAGGAAACATGCCTAATTTGTCGTCTTTTATGACACGCTTGTTGTGGGACACTGGGTCTGTCCTCTCACCCACCCCCTACCCCCTCCCGTTTTCCAGAATTGGGACCTAGAACCCACACGGGGATTGTATAAAGATGAATTACATTCATACAGATGGCACCCTTGTGGGTAATCTATACGGATAAAACAGTTTATAAAACTTTGCTTATTCTATTTAAGCTTTGAAATAAGGTAATAAAATGACAGAAACTCACTCCATGGTCGGCTTCAGGCCAAGAAGGAAGACTTGTGTGGATGGGAGACGGTGCACTCGACGCTGAGGCTGTGGACAATGGCCTGGTCATAGACGTGACGGACGCCGATGACATCTTGCTGGACATGGACAACGTCCTGCGGCGGAATGGTTTCTGTTGTTTATCTGTGCCTTCTGACTCCGTGCTCTCCTAGGAGTTAATGCAAAGTACCACATAACTGTCTATGTACAATTTGTACAGATAATCACTGAAAAAGCACTACAATGGAAAACAAATGGAACGAAGAAAAAGAGGACATCACAGAGAAATCCTAAGATGAATTTTGTTGAGAGAGGCCAGATGTGATTGACTGGATTCCGTGATGGTTAGCCAGATGTGATTGACTGCATTCCGTGATGGTTAGCCAGATGTAAGATTTGAGTTGTATTCCTTATGCCTGATATTTTCATGTCCATGTTGTTTGAACCCAGAAAAAGGCTTGCATCTCTCATGAAAAGGCAATGGTAGAGATTTTTCTCCCAATCTGGTACCGAAGCATTACCTCCACAAAAACTATTCCACATTTTTTAAGAGAGGCCAATGGTATTAGCCTTGATTCCATCTATCCCCCCCCCCCCCCCCCCCCGCTGTATGGAACTGTACACAGTACCGGCACCTTTTTATGCCCTTTTCAGCACTACTGTAAAAGATGCCTTGTGGTGAGTACCGGTAGCTTTCTTAGACACTTTGTAGTCAGTACCTGCACCTTTTCTTTAGATGAACACCAGCCCAGATTCCATTCATAAACATCAGCCCAGATTTCATTCATAAACATCAGCCCAGATTCCATTCATAAACATCAGCCCAGATTTCATTCATAAACATCAGCCCAGATTCCATTCATAAAACATGATTTCATTCATAAAATCACCAGATTTCCATTTTTATTCATAAACATCAGCCCAGGAGATTTCATTCATGAGATTCCATTCATAAACATCAGCCCAGATTTCATTCATAAACACCAGCCCGGATTCCATTCATAAACACCAGCCCGGATTTCATTCATAAACACCAGCCCGGATTCCATTCATAAACACCAGCCCAGATTTCATTCATAAACACCAGCCCAGATTCCATTCATGAACACCAGCCCAGATTCCATTCATAAATACCAGCCCAGATTCCATTCATGATATCGACAAGGTGGCATGGGAAATACAGAATGGGAGACAAGACTTTAAAATCTTATGTGACTTATAAATGATGTAGCAGGGTAATGATGATGCAATAATTAGGTTAACATAAAGTAACAGTAATGCTGCTTATGTGAAGAAGGTGAATATAAAGTAACAGATAATTGCTGGATAAATGGTATACTTCATTGTCATAATAAAGTGCCTTGCCATCTGGCGTGACTGATTAGTAAAGTAAAAAGTAAAGATCCCTAGGCGCATCGGGTATTTTGCAGAGCGTCCCATATTTTTACAGACCAATCGGCACTGGATGGGTAATGTGGTCAGCATTACGCCGGCCGTCTTTACTTTCCCAGGTTAGCCATCCTGGTACCCACTTTAGGCTGGGTCGACCTGCGACGCCCCATACCCTGATAAAAATCCAAGCAGCCAGTAGTGGGTTTCGATCGCGGTACGTTGGATTAGGAGTCGGACTCCAACGCCTAAGCCACGGACACCGCCTTGCCTGATCAAGCCCTTCTTAAACCTGCGTCAGGCAGGTGCATGTGTACTGACACACCTCCATGCCGCGATATAAGATTATCAACAAACACGCTGTCTCTTCCAAAATCTCTTGATTACTTATTTTTTTTCAAAGGCAGTTGTCACAACATGTCCTAATTTCCTCATCTAATTACATGGCCGAAGACTAACGATTGTCTCCTTCTAAGGTTTTTGATAAGTTTTCTTTTGGCTCTCGCCTCTTTCAAAATGTCTGGGTTTACTAATTTTTGCTGTCAAAGAATTTTAAGCATTCGTCTGTAAAACCACACCTCAGAGGTCTGGAGAAATTGTTTGGCTTGTTTTTAAATAGTCCAGGATACACACCCATGTGTTAAACTTAGCTGTGTATAGCATGACAGAAAACTTGATCTAAACTTATATGCCAGAGACTTATTGCACATGAAAAAATGCACTGGGAGGGGGGGGGGGTGTGGGCTGAGTAATTAACGGTATACATAATAAACACAGGTTAACTTAAACTAATAGGCAATTCTTCCTTCTTACTTCTTCAATCTTCTTTCTTCCTTTTTTTTCTTTTTTCTTCCCTTTTCCTTCTTTTTTCTTTTTCTTCTTCTTCTTCTTTTTCTTCTTCTTCTTCTTCTTCTTCTTCTTCTTCTCTTCTTCTTCTTCTTCTTCTTTCTTCTTCTTCTTCTTCTTCTTCTTCTTCTTCTTCTTCTTCTTCTTCTTCTTCTTCTTTTTCTTCCCTCTTCTTCTTCTTCTTCTTCTTCTTCTTCTTCTTCTTCTTCTTCTTCTTCTTCTTCTTCTTCTTCTTCTTCTTCTTCTTCTTCTTCTTCTTTTCCTTCTTCTTTCTTCTTCTTCTCTTCTTCTTCTTCTTCTTCTTCTTCTTCTTCTTCTTCTTCTTCTTCTTCTTCTTCTTCTTTTTCCTACTCTTCTTCTTCCTCTTTTTCTTCTTCTCCTTCACTTCCTCTTTTACCGCTTCGGATGTTGAGGGAGATGTAAGGTTCTACTTCTTGCTTTTCCGACCTCCTCCTCAGTCTTAGACACATCATGCTGTTAGAGAGTTTCTCTGATTTTATCTATCCATTTGTTCTTGGTCTAACTCGGGATCTTCATCCATCTCTTCTTTTGGCAAAGATATACTAGTAATATAAGTTAACACTTAGTAATGTACAAAAAGGTTGAACAAACGAGTTAATTAACATAAAGGGTGATACAAATTAGAGCTTTATGATAATGACATAAGTTCTCTACCCCAAATTTAAAAGTTATAAACGAGCAGCCCATATACAAGTTTCTCAAAATTAACCTCAAATAATATAATTAAGAAATGTTGATTTCCTGATAAGGACAACGTAATATAAGCCCATATTCTGACATCCTTATATAAACGCATTTTAGTATTGGCCTCAAATTAAGATTTCTCTATGTTAGAGATTTACAATTTTTGTCAAAATTCTGGCTATACATCATATAAAAATTATATTAGCCACATTCTGGCTCAGAAAAATAAACACATTATAATACTGGGTACAGATTTTTTTAATTCTTAGTATCAGCACTACAATATCAAAAAAAAGAAAAAATGCTTGCTCTCTGTCATTTATGATTTCAGTTTTCTCATGTCCTCCAAGACTGTCACAAATACAACATATTAAGGCAAAACTTTTGCTAAGAAGAAACATCAGTGCAAGTCAAACTTAATGGGTGGCTGAATAAATTATGAAAGAAAATAAAGTTTACACTAGAGACAACATTGCAGATATAGATAATATATTTCAAGCGAACGAAAGAAGAAGTCTTTTCACCACATGTACAATCGTTTTACGATAACAAACAACTGACCTCTTCGGTAAGAATAATGGCATTCTCTGACTCTTCGGCCTTGCGTTTTCTCAGATGAAGCATCAACTCCCGGGACCTTTCCTTGAGAGCCTCAATCCTGGACATAAGGTGGATGTCCTCATCGCTGATGCGATGACTGGAGCTGGAGTTGAGCTGTATCTTGAGATCATGAACTTCTTGCTCCACCAAGGACATCTCCAGTTGAATCTGTGTAGGGGTAAACACAATGTACGATGTCAATGACTGTTTGAATGGTCAGTTCATTGGGTAACTGGCTAGATAGTTGGTTTTGGTATTGGCTGGTTGGTAGAAGTAAAAAAAAAAAAAAGTAAAGGACCCTTTTCCACGCCTTTGAGTTGTACTGGGCAAATAGGGCTAGACCTATGTTTTATAGACCAAACGGCACTTGGCGGGTGATGTGGTTAGCTTCACGCCAGACGCTTTTACTTCCCAGGACTGTACCTGGTACCCACTCAAGGCTAGGTCGACCTGGGAGCCAAAGTCATTTTTTTTAATGTACGGCGCCCGTTAAGAACCGAACCCACGACCTTCCGACCCGCAGGGGAGCGTCTAGCTGTTAGACCATGCGGCTCCATTTGGTTGGTGGGTAGCATGGTAGAATTGTTGGTTGCTTGACTTGTTGGGTTGGTTGGTTAAATTTGTATTCAGTTAGATAGTTGGTTAGTTTGCTACTTACTTATTAATGGAGTGGTTGGTTGAACATGTGGGTCGTGATCCTATTTTGGGTGGAACGGCCCTCTTACAGCGGTTGCCAAAGACCATCGCAAACATATTCGCTGAAGTTATGAAGTAGAAACGAAAAAAAAAAAAAAATCTATATGACTGGGGAGTCTCCACAACAGGAAGATACTGTATGAAAGGGTCGCGGTATTAGGAAGGTTGAAGGCCACTTGTCTAGCCGCTAGGCATATGGTGATGGTCGCCACAATTTTAAAGTTGAATGTTGTTCACAGCACTCGGAACTCTCCCATAAGCCCGAAGAGTTCCAATTCCGATAGTCTGATTGTATATCCGTCTCGCCCTTTCCCTGAGTGTTAAGCGTCGGTCAGATCCCCTGGTAACCCCTCGCAGCGCCATTCTCCTCGGACCGTAAGGATCTATCGGTGCCTTCTCAACATCTAGCTTGTCATACATCAGTTCATCACTAAGAGGTGCAGAACCGTCCATTCTATCTGCCTGCTCGTTTCTCAACACACCGGCATTCCTGGAGAAAATGTAATGATGTTTAAAGTCTAATCAACCTCCTATGCGGTCAAGATCGCAATTCTCACTTGCTTCCCAGGACATTTCCCCGTATCCATTTAAGTTTAGTTAACTGGGGAACCGGTCAATTATAAAAAATGTCATCGAAGAAGATTCGAACTCAATACCATCGGATATTCACCTCAGGTGCAAACAGTTTTCTCTGAGGAAGTGTCAAACATCATGGCTCGCAATATAAACTGTGATACGACACTATCCTTCGACATTAGTTAACAGGTCTTTTACAGAGCATCGATCTCGTCACGACACATTTGAAAGTTTCTGTTTCTCTAGACAAGTTTCCAGCCCTATGTGCTTTGATAGTGAAAGCATCTTCAGTGTCTTGAACCCACGTTCGCGGAGGTCTGCCTCTGCCTAGTTTTCTTGAAACTGCACCCTTCCTCACCGCTGTCTCCAAGCCAACATGAATTGAACATAATTTGGGCTTCTGGGATTGGAACCTGTTTGATTCACCCATGTCAAACGCTAGAAGAATGAAAATGGTGGGGTGGAGAGGGGGGGGAGTGTGGGGGGGGGGGGGTGTGGGGGGCAATTGCAAACATTCGTAAGCAAGCAAAAATGAACTAATGTGTAATAAACGTGCACAAGTGTTGGTCACCTGGTCAGCTGTAAGGTCGTCCAAGGTTAAGTTGGACAATGATCGGTTTGTCTCGCACCTGGCCTTGTAAGCGGCGTCTTCTGGGATCCTTCTGTGAGCCAGCAGTTTGGACAGTGTTTCTAACTGTTGGATGGATACAGTTGACACAGGTACAGATGATGCACTTGATATGGATACATATGATACAAGTGACATAAGTACAGATGATACAGTCGACACAGGCAGAGATGATACAGTTGACAGAGGTGCAAATGATACAGTCGACACAGGTAGAGATGATACAGTTGACAGAGGTGCAGATGATACAGTCGACACAGGTAGAGATGATACAGTTGAAAGAGGTGCAGATGATACAGTCGACACAGGTAGAGATGATACAGTTGACGAGGTGCAAATGATACAGTCGACACAGGTAGAGATGATACAGTTGACGAGGTGCAAATGATACAGTCAACACAGGTATAGATGATACGATTGACAGAGGTGAAAATGCTACAGTCGACACAGGTAGAGATGATAGTTGACATAAGTACATATGATCGCCTGGTGGGCTGAAAGCAAGCAATCGATAGTGTGTAGTGGGAAGAAAGTCATACAAAGTGTAGATTAAATACATGCATGCATTGAGTAGAGATAATGATGTCGTAATATAGAGTGCAGGGGAAAGGAAGCCATACAGATTCTGATGGAAAGAAAGCCATTAGAGTGCAGTGGGAAGAAGACCATACAGATCCGGTATGAGGCCAGCCATTTAGAGTATAGTGGAAAGAAAGTCATATGGAGTTCAGTGAGAAGAAAGCCATGAAGAGTCTAGTGGAAAGAAGGCTATATAGAGTCCAGCGGGAGGGCTGCCATATAGTGTACAATGGGTAGAAAACCATTTAGAGTGTAGTGGGAAGAAAGCCATGTAGCGTGTAGGGGAAAGGAAGCCGTAAAGAGTGCAGTGCGAAAAAAGCTATATAGAGTCTAATAGGAAGGTTGCTATAGTGTAGTGGGAAGAAAGCCACCCAGAGTATAATTGTTCAGGACGCGACAAAGAGTAAAGTCGAAAGGAAGTAACGAAAAGAGTACAATGGGAAATAAGCAATATGATAGGGGAAGTAAGCAGCATAGAATGTAATGGAGGATGGAAGTAGTGTGTAGGGAACAGAAAACAATGTTGGAAGCAAGTGATACATAGCGTCAATGGAAAGTGGAGTGAAAAGAAAATGATAACGCCCACCCCCCCCCACCCCCTCCACCCAACCCTTTTTGCTCAGAACAACGCTGGTCTGACAAAAATGCTCATATCGGGCATTGCATCGAAACCTGTGTCTTTGTATGTAGGTACAATAAACGCAACGACATCTATTAACATGGGAGCCGATGTGGTATGGCACTAGATGCTCGCTTGAGGTTCGGAAGGTCCTGGGTTTAATGAAGTGCGAACGAAGCCAGACTCTTTTTTCTTTTCTTTCTTAAATGAGTAGAAGGTCAAGTCCTGGAAGTAAACGTGGCCGGCATGATGTTAGCCATATCATTCATCGAGTACACACTGGTCTTTAAAATTAAGAATATGCCCCATACGCCTAATCATCATCATCGCCATAAACCACTTTTGCCAGATGGTGTGGGAAAAAGAGCCCTCTAGGTCCACGGAGGAGGAGTGGCTGGTCGAACGGTTAGGGCGGTGGGCTCCCAAGCGGAAGACCTGGTTCGAATCCTTGGCAAGGCGGGGAATTTTGTTTGTTTATTGTTGTTGTTGTTGTTTTTGTTGTTGTTGTTGTTGTTGCAAAATAAAAATCCTTATCTGGACAGTCCGTGGGGACAGCACTAGCCATATGGCCGTAAATCCCAGGCTCAAAGACTACCTGCCTACACCGCAAAAGTGGTATAATATAGGCACTAATTGGCAGTGTTACGCCCACGAACCTGCTACACCCCACTGTTAGGTTGCTATTTTGGTGTGACGCCTTTCGTGACATTCCTGTCACGTGCGACGCCCCTGGATATGTCATTATGATGCCATCTCACGAGTTACACAATTTCCGAAAACCATCAACAACTTTTTTTTTTTTTTTTTTTGCTGAATGACCCATCTTCGCCTGCGATGTGGACAGAAGGACAAGGAAACAACTGTAACCAGCAGGAATGTCGAAACGTGGGAGTTCAGGCACTCTGAGTCCTTTCGCCCCGCCCTGAACTATCTTAGAGATAGACTAAAGGCTCCTCCCCCATTCCCCCCCCCTAATAACTGTACAGATGAACTCCTGTAGATCACGAAGTAACTCTGTAGCCCAGTGTAGGTAAGTATATGAACATGAGGACATTGTTTATATGTATTTGCTATTCAGCAATTCAACAGATTATTATTAATAATATTATTATTATTATTACTATTATTATTATTTTATTATTATTGTTATTAATATTGTTATTATTATTATTATTATTATTATTATTATTATTATTATTATTATTATTATTATTATTATGGTCCTATTCGCGTTTCCTGGTCCATTTACATACTGTCTGACCTTTCATTCATACTTTCTTGGACTCCTCTACGTCGGAGGGGTGTCACATTGTCTTGCCTCCAACTACATCAGCGCCAACGTCACCTGTTGTATACTACACGACGACGACAGCTTTCAACAACGCCAGAACATGTAAAACTGACCCTAACCCAAACCCTTTCACCATCCCACAACCTGAGCCTAGGTCACGCGAGAGACTCTTTTTGAAGAAAGCAATACAATGTGACACCCCTCTGACCTAGATCAGACTGAGAAAGTGTGTAGATGGGCGGGGAAAAGTGATCATGTCCATTTTTATTATTTCCTACTTAAACAAAGCTTAGACCCTTGGAGGACCCCCCCCCCCCCCCCACCCCCAACCACCTCTCCCCATATTTTATTTATGCTGCCATCCAGGACTCCTGATAACAAAACAAACCTTGTGAATAAAGTCCCTGGTGAGAAGATCCGGGTTGGGAATGACCGCTCTGTCACAGATGACCGTCATTCGTACCTGGTCAGCGTACGTGATGAAGGACACAGTGAGCGGGACTCTCTCCAAGGGCGGTACCCAGTACATCATACACTTGACTTCACGGGAATCGATCTTTAGTGTCGAGGTGGGGCCGGCCAGGTTGGACACTAGCATTGTGCATTTGTTGTAGATCTGTGAACGTGCCAGACAGACAATATGCTTGTTATATATGTGTGCGTGCGTGCGCGCGTGCGTGTGTTTGTGTGTGTGTGTGTGCGTGTGTGTGTGGGTGCATTCCTTTAAAAAATCGTCACTTTCAACCAGCATCCCCCGAAGGGAAGCTTTAGGTTATATTTGTGACTAGGGTATGTGCGCCATAAAAAATGGCTTAGCTTTTCAGGCCTCCAAGAGCCATGAAAAGGGAAAACTACTCCTGCAGTGTAGATGCGTTTAAAGGAGACAGTCCCAAATACTGTCCGCACCGGCGAGGAAGTCGTCTACTGGCGAGCCAGTGGGTGAGCTAGTCGCCGATGCCCTTATATATTCCCTCGCCCGGCTCTCTAGCGTAGTTGGCTAAACGGGATTGGGCGGAGAGTGTGAGACGAACTCCTTGTGGTTCGGGTTCAATCCCGGGGGTAAGCAGGAAGGCCACATTTTCTCCCAGATTTACGGTATTTACAATGGAATCAAGAAAGAAAGGTTGCGATATCCATATTACCGAGCCTAAGGGTTAACAACTCATGGCTTCTGGATACTAAAACAAACAAACAATATATTCCCTCACTCTCACACACACATACACACACATATCTAAAGGTCCACCCAGCCCTAAATGGGCGCCATTTAAAGTCCCGGGAATTAAAGGTGGCCGTCGTGATGTTGGCCAGATCACTCACCCGGGACCGTTTGGTCCTTATAATATAGGTCTAGCCCTATATGCTTAATAGCCCGAAGGCGTGAAATAGCGCGGCGTCCGTGTCTTGGGCGTTGCGAGTCCGACTCGTAATTCCAACGTACTGCGATCGAAACCCACTGCTGGCTGCGTGGATTTTTATAATGGTCCACCCAACCTAAAATGGGTACCAGGATGGATGTTCTGGGAAAGTAAAGACAGCCGGCGTAATGCTGACCACATTACCTACCTAGTGCCGATGGTCTGAAAAAATATGGTCGCTCTTCCTATATACCCGATAGGTGTGAAAAGCGATCTTTACTTTATTTACTTTATGTACCTTAAAAGGTAGTTAAATAAAAAGACAAGAAAGTAGGTAATTTAGGTTACCTATTTAAGGTTTCAATCGAAAGGACTGACTTTATTGCACCAGTATCGTCCCATACGGTTCGGCCTTTCACCGCAGAACGGCTAGCCGTCTGCCGAGAACATCGCACTAAAGTCGAACTCTGTAGCTCATGTGACGATCCACAGGCGTCTTCGTATAAATTTCACTCTAAACGACGCAGCTGTGACACGAACACACGACCTTTGGAGGAAAGGCTTTGCAATGGAGACCCCAGGCTGGGTAGACCGTGACCTAATTTCTAAAGTAGGCCATGTGCAGCAAAGCCAAAAGAAGACCGCTGGTCTGCAGACTGGGGGTTGAGGGGGGTGGGGGAGGGGGGGGGGGATTTGAAGGAAATTTTGTTGCCAAAAAAATAGGTGGTGGAACGTCCAGCAATTTTGAAAATGTGTTTGTTTATGTAATAACCCATCATGATAACATTTTCTCCAATTTAGTTATAAATAAAAAAAAAATGTTTTTAAGTATTTATAAAATAAAACACAACACACACAAAAGTTAAGGACCTATTTGTGTTTTTATGTGCAGTTTGTACATGTACCGTCAAAATACTAATTAATAAGATAACGCGCGCATTTAATGATAGATTTAAAACACATTCTTCCTAGTAAAAAAAAAAAAAAAAAAAATCATATTCTGCCATGTTGGGATGAGTGTGGTGGGCGGGGGAGGGGTGTGTCTTGCCATATACTCAAAGGGATGAGAGTGTGTTAGACAATCATCGATCTATCCCACTTGTTCTGGTAAACCACGCCCATCTTGAGCTATAAATTGATGTATTTTTAAACAGTTACCAAAAAAATTCACAATGATAAGGAACTGACTTCATCCAACATGATGAAACTGGACAAATTTCTTTGTGCTGTTTGTACCTTGAGGATAAATATTTAGTAGTGCTATAAGTACTGTTAAGAAAACTGCTCTGGGGGAAAAATTATTGCACATATCAATTTCATATTGACTGTGCTTTTTTACCAGTTATTAAACAACAGTATAATTATATGTTGTAGTATTCTACTAATAGTAATAATAACCATCAATCATTTATATTTATGTTATATATGGTATGTGTATGTTTTCCAGCAGTATTTTTATGTGCTAAACTTGATAAAGTACAAATTTCATCCCCCCCCCCCCATCCCCCCCTCCCCCACCAGGGGTCCTCTAATGCAGTACCCTCTCAGAATCAAAGGGTTTGCACTAATATTTCTTTACTATTGCTTGAATAACTTCCAGTTTATATCTATACGTTATTGACGTTTATGTTCATGTTGACTGTAGCAAAAGCATTTTTGTTTGTCTGTAAGAGCCTTTTTTGTATTTTTTTATAGCACACTTATTTACCTTCAAAATGATATATAGTTCTATAAAAATGTGTCGCAAATTAATGAAACTGTAGTTTAATATGTATACATCTCCTCGATAAAAACTGTGGACACAGACTCCATTCTTGCACAAGAACGGGAATTCCCGTTGACCCAGTTGGCCTATAAATAGAGAAGGCCGTGGGTAAACCAACCTTTCGCCACATCCGCTGGAAGGCAGATATCGGAAGCAAAGCACACGTCAACCACCGGGCGTCATTAACAACGGCGGCTTCAGCAGACGACTTGAACTGCGCCATGTCGTACTTGACCTGCCACAATCGTGGGATGATTCCTTCGGTGTTTGTTGGTAACTGCATGATCACCAGGGAATAACTGTCATATGGAGAAACAATGCGATCTGTTAGGACATTGCAAAAGAGGCCCAAAAATGTTGCTGCGAAATCATTCTAAGGGCTAAGGATTCTTTTTAATATGGTTCTCATTTGAACTCCTTTAGACGCATAGACTTTTTAGGATGTTATCTTTCCATTTTGTTCTTTGTCTCCCTCGTGACTTCGCCCACTTCCTCTTTTGGTGGTTGCTTCGTATTGTGTGATGTCACAAGGAATTTTCTCTAAGTAGGCAAACCAATTTGCTATCTTTGCATAACATCAGTGGATGCAAACCTTTTTCTTTTACCCTTATCCTCCTTTGGATTAAAAGCTCTCAACCAACTTACGCCAAGTCGTCCCATGGTTTGCCCTAACATGCAGTTCACTCTATGTCCACCCAATCTTGTTTAATTTCACAATCTAGCTCTCTTGCCCATGTATTTTTTGGTCTGCCTTTACATCTATGCCCCGTGCCCCCCTTTAAAAAAAACCAACCTTATTCATTACTAATATGGATAGAATATTTTGGCACATTAAAAACATATTGTTGGCGCCTTTGCCTCTTTCTAAACAAAAGTTTTTATATCCTGTTATCTGGAGGCCTAGCAATCACTGGCCATGCCAAGACCAGTTAAGGCCAGGGTTGAAGTCTCCCCTCTCTATAGCTAGTGCAAAGCCTGGACAGTATTGTATTGTAGAGACCTTGTGTTGCCCACGTAGTAATCTCTCTCTCTGTCCCTCTCTCTCCCCCCCCTCTCTCTCTCTCTCTCTCTCTCTCTCTCTCTCTCTCTCTCTCTCTCTCTCTCTCTCTCTCTCTCTGTTTATTAATGTATTAATGTAGGTATAATTAGAGCAATTCCACCCAATTGTAATTAGGACCTAAATATCGTTGAACATATTTGTGATCTATATATATAAAAATCAATGTTTGTGTGTTTGTTTGCCCCCTATAGACTCGGAAACTACTAAGCCGATTTAGCTGAAATTTTCAGGATATGTTTGTTTTGAAACCGGATGATAAACCATCATGGTTTGAAATTCAACCTGTCACTGTGAGAGATAGGTGACCACAATTTAAGCAAAAATATTCGAAACTAATATTTAAATTGTTAGTGACATCTAATTATAGCCAGGTTAGTAATTGCGCATGCGCCGTAGTCAGAACGCAAGTCTTCCGCTATTCGCCGGCGAGTTACGTGCAGCCAACGCCTTCTCTAATAACATAGAGTAGGTCGTGGTACAGCAAACAAGACTATCTCTATATTTGTGTAGGCAGTGATTGCCACAATAACCATATTAAACACGATTTCTATTTTCTGTTTTTTTTTTTCAAACAATCTTCGATGGGAAGGGGGGGGATGGGGGTCATCAAGGACTATCTCGACGTCGGCGCAGACATTGACTGCGACATTAACTTCAATAACCGTGTGAGACACGTGAGATTTCTATTGTTGTGCCGTTTCATTAATATATCTGGAGTATCTGTCTATGAGAAAACAAATTGCCTGCGGTTTTGAGTTGTGTTATAATCAGACAGTAGTAGTAGGGACACACATCTCAATAGTTTTGTTCTCTTTTCGTTGCTCCTATGAAGTAGCTGCTTGGTCGAATGGTTACAACACTGGGTTCCTGTGCGGGAGACCAGGGTTCGAATCTGCAGTAGTAAATATTTTTTTTACCCCGGTCTAATACTAAAAAAAAAAAAAAAAAAAAAAAAAACAGGTAAATGGGTAAACTATTTGATAATTAAATTTGACCATTTCTCATACTTATGATTGCATTTTTAAACTTTCCGATTGCATGGTTACGCTGAAATTTCATAGCTTTCCATTTATTTTCATTTAGATTTAGTTATTTCATCTGCGTTGGAATTTTAAGCTGTGCTGTTACCATTTCCTAATTATGTTTTTTTTTTTTTTTTCCTGTTTTCATTTGCTTTTCAAGTGTTTTTTTTTCTTTCTTCCAACTACTTCAATGAGGGGAAGAGTTGTCGGTGAATTTTTTTTTTTTTGGAGGGGGGGGGGGGGGGGGGGCAAACTGTTAACTGAGAGAGCTTTAAGTCACAGTAACTGCTTTACCCACTAAAAGTAGCAGCAGCAGTAATAGTTGTAGTTGGGCTGTTACACCGTAGTGCTCTCATGCGAAGACCGCCGGTATGGTTATGGCGTTCTTCTGTCGGGAAGCGAAATTATATATCCTAACCTGACCAGTCTGTGGCGACAGCACTAGCCATGCGGAACTAAATCTTCTGGCTCACGACTCTCTGTCTACTCCGATGGTAACACAGATAGCAGTGACATTTTTTTAGCTACTGTGGTGGTGGTCGTGGTAGTAGTTGTACTGGTACTTGAAGGATGATGTGGTAAATATTACACTAGCTCCATTCACTACCTATTACAATTCCTGCTCCCCATTTTAGTCCGGATGGACAGGGATGTCAATGTCAGTTACAGCAACAACAAAAATATCGCCAGGTAATGATTTTCAAATCCTTCGAAGAGGGAGAGAGCAGTAGTCGGTGGAAGAGGGGAGGGGAGGGGGTAATGACTTAAATTTAAGAGAACTTAAAGAGCTTTACACGTGATTTTCAAATTCTCATTACCTAATTTGTTTATATTTTACTAATGCTACCTCCGCTTTTCTATTTTTTACGACTTACTTTGTTATTTACAAGTACAGTTGTAGCTTTACTTCCGTCTCCTATAAAAATACAAACAGCTTTAGCGTGTGATAACCAAATAACCATTTTTGTTACTGTGCTAATAACACCATTTAAACGACCAATAATATAAAGACACAATTATAAGGTGCGTGTTCTAAAGTTGGAAAACCAGACTATCTCTATATCTGTGCAGAAAATGATTGCGACATTAACTATATCAGACACGAACGATTTCCATTGTCTTTCTTTTCCAAAAACCTTTAATGAGGGAGAGAGTAGTAGGTGGATTTAGTTGTGGTGGTGAGGGGGGGGGGGCGGGGATCAAAGACTATCTCTATATCTGAGCAGACAATGATTGTATTAGACACGTGCGATTTCTATTTTCTTTCATTTCCATTTAGCCAAACTATGCCACAGCAACGCGTGGCCGGGTACAGCTAGTTACCTATAAAATGATGTATGAATGAATAACTGCATGCAAAACTTGAAGCCGGAAAGGCGCAATGTTAGACAGGCCTGTATTTTTTAGAATAAAGTTCGTTTGTTCGTTCATTCGTTCTCTCTCTCTCTCTCTCTCTCTCTCTCTCTCTCTCTCTCTCTCTCTCTCTCTCGTTCTTCCCTTGTCTTCTATACTCTAAAGGAAAAGTACCACCAATTAGTTTGGAAATAAAGGCACATAAACCATCGGACTCTTACAAAAACCGAGACAATACAAGACTTACTTGTTGCCTATCTCTACAGCGTCATCATTATCCTCGTGTATATCGACTGGTACCACACAACTGATGTCGTACGGGTGTGTAATGCCAAACATTTGCAGGTAGGTCCGCATGTTCCCCGCCGTGATCGACAAGAACAGCTCACCTAAGGTACACCTGGCCACCTGCTTGATTCGCATGGCTGCACTCAGGCTGAGGACAGTTTTCGGTACACAGGTATTAACATTAACGTGAACCCAAGGACGTTAGTGGAACTTCCAACTTTATTACAAACGGCTTGCCCATAATTGCTCCATTCCAGCGGCAGTGGAAATCACACACAATGCTTTTCAGTCTTCCATTAGTCCCAGCAAATTGTTGAAGCTCGCACATGGAAAGTAAATTCATAAGGCAGCCGTCAGAAGTGCAGTGCTAATACTCCCACATCACAGCTGGAGCACACTGCTGATTCATGCAATCAATTATGAAAGCCGGCATTGTACACATAATGTGCACACGTACACAATCAGCTACCCGCCATTTTTTAGTGCATTTAACAACACAAAACTGTCGCATGCACAACAGAAATAAACACACATACATATTTCACAAAGTGCTTCGCCAAGCACTCAATTTAGTAGCTGAACGACATGAATCAAACAACGCAGCCTGCGAAAGGAACAAACGACTTTCAGAGCACGTTACAAAACGAGTTTACCACCTGGCATAGAAACCCCCGATTAAACCAAATATGAAGACTTTTAACGCATTTAGTACCTATCTTTTATTCTAACACCCTGCACGCTACGCTTTTCTCTACTCCTTGCGTCTCTTTGTATTGTTCCTTTACCTTCCTCACAGCTTTCGCCGACGGCAATCTCTCGCGGAATTTCCAGACTGTTCGTCCACGTCTGGATTTCAGTCGTATTCCAGAACTTAAGTTTTGCGTGCACATCCATTTCGCGAATCTGGTTTATATATATGCAGACTGTCGGTTCCTCGCCTCTAAGGCAAATGCACTCCGACTTTGAAGGAGATATCCCTAATTAGTTGCCTACTACGACATGCTTGTTGGGAAGCAGTGGGTCTGTTCTGTGTTCTATAGAATGAAGCCCAAGAACGCATTAGAGAATGATATAGATTATGATATTGATGATAACAATGACGATATGCTCGCGTATTAGTATTGATAACATTGATTATCAAGTTACCGATATTGATACCGATTATAATAACAATAGTGATTAATTATAATTATTCACTCCGCTAATGATGGCAATGAAGGTGATGATGATAACGGGATGAAATATTGTGATGAAAATGACTGGGGATAGTGATGTTAAAAATTGCAATGATAATGTAAGTAAAGTGGATATAGGACCCTTTTCAACGCCTTCAGGTTAACTGGGCATATAGGGCTAGACTGATATTTTATAGACCAATCGGCTCTTGGTGGGTGGTGTGGTCAACATCACGCCGGTGGCCTTTACTTCCCAGGTCTGCACCTATGATGGTGATGTAATGAAGGTCCGAAGGGTTTCCTAAGATTACGTAGTGGTATTACAGGCCAGTAAGAAACGGGTCAAGCAGGGAAAGTGATATTCACTGAACAGTTACAAGAACAAATCCCCTAGGCAGGGAACAAGGGTTTTGAAAAACATATGAGACAGAGGCAGTGGTTGGCTGACTGTAAGAGGTTTCGTATTGAGTGACTGAAGTAAATTATGATTGTGAGCTCGGGGAACGAGGACTTGGAACGCCAGGAATATCTGAAAAGCATCGATTCTGAATTGTGATGCCCAGTAAACTGTGAAATGTGTGCTGCTGTGATCTACATGTGAAGTCCTCGCGTGAATGAACTAATCGTACTCGATGATAATCGCATCTCTTGTCTAGTTGTAATCCTGTCATGGCCGTAGGTCGAGAGCAAGTTGTAAACGATCAGGAAGAGTTTGGAACAACGACGGAATGACTGTTTTTGATAGACTATAATAAACTGTATTAACATCATCGTCGTGTTTTGACTACACAACTGTGTGTCCATATTTTACATCATAACGGAGGAGGTAGAGAGTTGATATCAGTTGCAGAACAACAGCTTTGCAGATGACGATATAATAATGATAATGGTGACGTTGACAACGATAGCGCCAGCTACCTGAAAGGCTCCGACCAGGCAACCACCATCTCCCCGGACGGACAGATATGAGCACCATGCAGCAGGTTATAATCAGGTCTTCTGAAAAAGTATTTGGTCAAGAAAGTCACCGGTCCACCGAAGAGGATTCTTAGTGCCGAAACGTTAGATGCCTGCCTGCTGAACTCCCTCTTCTGGTGGCAGATCTGTCATGGAGACAAGTTATTACTGTAGAGGATTAATAAATGTGTGTATGTATATACGTATGTGAGTGTGTGTATGTATATGAGTGTGTGTATGTATTATATGAGTGTGTGTAAGTATTATATGAGTGTGTGTTTGTATTTCCGAACAACGCATCCGATTTTATTCAACACTTAATTCGCCAGCCTTTTTACAAAATGCTTGTTAAGAGAGCTGATCTACCCCCCCCCCCCCCTTCCCCTTTATATCCTAACACGGAGCAATTAAAAACACTCAAGGATATAGGTATATTGTTCTAGTAATATAATTACAGATCAAACATCACTCGTGGAAGACACCGTGGCGCAGTAGCTAGCAAGGTCGCCTGCATATAAAGTAGCCATGGTTCGATCTCATATCAAGGCAATTAAAAGAAAAAAAAAATATTTGGGCTTGCAAGTCGACATAACCTGGCAAGACGTGTGAAGTAAAGGGGGCGGTAGCAATACTCACCACAGTGCGACACATTGAGTGTTGTTCAGTGTAATACAGAAAACCGGGTGGCACCATGTGCACGATACAACAACTCTTTTAAAAACCAAACTGGAGGGACAAGTGGAAGGCTAGAGAACAAGACGTAGATAAGGATAGAAACAAAAGAACAACACCCTGAGATGGACTAGCAACAGTTTGCGAAAGTGTACATGGTGGTGACAGCAGGAGGTAAGGCGTAGATGATTTTTATCATAGAATCTCTCCCTCTCCCTCCCCCACCCTCCCTCCTTCTCCCTTCCCCCACCCCCTTTCCCTTCTTTACAAGAATATGAGCTGGGGGTTATACTATAACAAAACAAATCTGTATAACCGTGGTCCCTTTGTAAAAAAAAAGAGAACGAGAGAATACGACTTTCCCTTGAACATCAAAAACACAAACACATATGTGTCACAAGAGAAACAGAGATTATAGTTTTTTCATTCAACATCAAGAAAACAAAAAACAATGTTATCAAAGAAAGAGATCAAACATGTGAAATTACAAAAAAAGAAAACACAAGAAAAGACAAAATAAAGCATGCATCTAACGACAATGCTAAACAAATTACCCTGTATGTATTGGCACTCACAGATGCAGATGGAAGTAGTCGAGAAACAAGATAGAGTAGAAAACAAAACTATCGAAGACGATAATTACTATACTTGGATTCGAATCTGTCGACTCGAAATGTTGAATTAAGAATCTATATCACAGCACTCGGGACACCCCCATAAGCGCTCCGTCCCCATCTTCAGCAGCAAGCAAAGAGTTTAAATTCCGATGGTACCAGTAACTGTCTGATTGTATATCCGTCTCGCCTTTCCTCTGAGTGTTTAGCGTCGGCCAGATCCTCTTGTAACTCCTCGCAGTGCCATTCTCCTCAGTCCGTGATGATCTATTATCGACTTTAAATGACGACGATACATCGCGGAAGCTGAAACTATTCTACTTTGAAGTACGACCAACTAGACAACACTGACAGTGGTGTCATCCATGGTGCTCCGACACACTGAAAACATTGTTTCGCTGGAAGGGGATGAGGGTGCTTAGCCCCCTAAACATTTTGTAAAAAAAAAAGTGCTGTGGGAAATAGGGTCATAAACCTTATTGAACTAAGTATTATACTAATTATATGGAAAAAATGATTATGTTAAGAATGTAATAATTTTATTTTAAAGTGATGAATGGGGACAAAATCAAAATAATATGAAATATACAAACACATTTATTTAAAACAAGAACTAGTATGCACAGTTTATGGGTGAGGGCTATACTACCACAGTTTCATGTAACTGAGCTTACAACTATGTAATATGGAACAACTATACTGCCATACTGTTCCCACGTGCATATTTACCTTCTGTGAATCGACAAGGGCGTCCTCCAAGATTTGAATCAAAGACTCGCCATCTGTCATGCAGAGATGCATTCTGAACAACAGAACAGTGTCACGGGGCTCGCGGAAGTTATGCAGGACCTGGACATTGTAGGTATAAAAGGGAAACGTGGAAATTGGGGGAAATCGTTCTTAGTAAATATGATATAAAGAAAAAAATTCTTTGTGGGAACTGGCCGGGGAGCTGGCCTTTTTTCAAAATTGATCCTGGCTTCCATGTGACCCAGCATTGAGTGGGTACTAGCCGGGGAGCTGGCCTTTTTTCAAAATTGATCCTGGCTTCCAGGTGACCCAGCATTGAGTGGGTACTAGCCGCAGTCTTGGGAAGTAAAAACGGCCGGTGTGATGCTGACCACATCACCCACCAAGTGCCCATTGCTCTATAAAATATAGTTCTAACCCTCTATGCCCAATACGCCTGAAGGTGTGAAATATGTCCTTTTCCTTTTTTTTAATTTTCAAACACATTTAACTTCCGTAATTTCTTTAGTAGCTCTCCAACTTTCGCTGGCACATGTTACAACTGATATAGTGTTCGAACTGAAGTTTTTTAACTTTGGTCTCAAAGCTGTAAAACGTGGAGCTTCATATTAAGGCTTTTAAAAAGTGTTGTAGATTTGTCAATGCGTATCACTATTTCCTTTGTTGTATCTCCTTGAGAGTCAACATTGCTACCTGAATAGATTAAATGGTCCGTTACTTTTATTAGTTTTTTTTGGCTTGAAATTTACATGATCTGTTGTTGGTATCTTTAATTTTTCATAGTACACATTCATAATCATTAAAGAGGATCTCGTCAGTGGCGGAACTATGTTTCCTTGTAAATGATGTACGACATGAGGCAGACTGGGTAGACTTTCAGACGGGCCTGCGTGTACACTTCTTAACCCTTTGAAATACAATTTCTTTGCTCATACATTCGTTTGTCTTTTAATTATATTAATCTGATTTTTTTTTCAGACTCCAGTAGCCCACTAATATTGATTTCCGTAGCCCACTGTTTTATGCGCCTCCGCCCCCTCCCCCCTCCCCGCTCACAACCACAATTCCAACAATGGATATGTTAGTAAACAATTCCATATAGAATTTCACCACATCTAATCAAGAATGTATACAGGGAGAGGTTTTATGTTGTCTTTTTTTCCCATTCCTATATAGAAACGCGTTAGCGCAGTCGATAAGAGGCTCGCTTTCAAATCCAGCTGCGACTCGCTGCAGAACACGGTCAGTGTTCCAAACCGGGCGGCTCCCGGGGTTCACCCAGCCTCTAGGAAATGGGTACCAGAGTTGGCACTCTTAGGAAAATGGAGGACGTAGCGGCAGCTACAGAGTTACGTGCGAACGGCAACACAGGCGGACAATTCTTATCAGCTGTCCGTACTGGTGGCAGAGCACTTATGGTTTACAACCGTGTGCAATGACGCTGGTTCACATCTCCCGACTTTACTTTACTTGAAGTCCAGAATGTCGTTTCCAGAAACAAAGGAAACACAGTTTTTAAAATCATGTTGCCTTTTAGTTAATGTTGGAAGTTAGTTGCGCATCCTTTACAGGACGTTAAAGAACCAACCCCAGCATTTTTTTTTAGCTGTCGTGGCTTTTCTAGGCAAGATTTTGTCCAGTAGTTTGCCATTGCGTCCTAGACGGTCGGCTTCTCGATACCACTGTCGAAACCAACGCAAGGCTCAAACAGCGCAGCTGGGATCGAACCCGGCACCTCGGCATTCGTAACGCCTAAGCTACAGACGCCTACTAGTTAATTTTGGCAATTCCAAAACATGGGAATTTTTTGTAGAGGCATGGTAAAATGGAAAGGCCAGGGTGTCTGGGTGCAATAGTATAGTGCGGCGACTGTGACCCATCTTAAAACAATCGGTGTGTTTTTGTTATACAAAGTGTTTAGTTTAGCGGTCCAGTTTGTTGGATGTTTGCAGTCTGGACTGAGATAGTAGACATAACATGATAGGTACTAATTTATTGTTAGGTGTGTCTTGATAGCAACCCAATTGTTTGTGTGTATTTTACTGACACCTTCCAATAAGTTGTCTAGAGGGCCGTTGGAAAATTTTATAGCAGAAGGCATGTTACCAGGAATGAGGGACAGGGGCCGACCGACACGAAGATGGGCACAGGATATAAGTGACTCCTTGAGTGTGAAAGTGCATAAGGCGGGAGAACTGACGAGAGACCGAGTTTCTTTCAGGCAGACTGTGATGAGAGCGACGTTTTGCAAAGGACCTGCTACATGATGATGATAATCCCCTAAACAAGGATTGTAACCGAAGTCTTCTACATCTAAGATCTACATTTAAGCCACTAGACCAGCCGAACGAGAAACAGAGATCACGAACCTGTATCTCCCATAGAGGATGATCTGGTGACACTGGTTCGCCAGCCATCTTGGAGACGAAGTTTTGCAAATCCTCCAGGTTCTCGATGTAGCCGGGCATGTTGTAGACATGTTTAGAGAGGACAAAGTGGTTGTCCGTCACCCAGGCGCGCCCACAGCCAAAGTCCACCACCTGATGATAATCCATACTGTATGACACATAGTAACGTAGTAAATTCAAGGATCATTTTTCTTGCTTTCAGACGCACTGAGTATACAGCGCTAGACCTATCTATTATAGAACAATCGGTACTTAGTGAGTGATATGATCAGCATCACCCCAGCTGCCTTTACTTCCCACTTAGCGATTCAAGACTGGGTCGACCTGGGAGCCAGGTCATTTATGGGGGGAAAAAGTACATCACTGTTCGGATTTGAACCCACAGCCTTCGGACATGCAGGCGAGCGTCTAGCTACTACACCACGGCAGCTCTCGAATACCATATCATGCTACAGAAACATTCCTAGACTATCGTTTACAAAAAAAAAAAAAAAAAAAAGACAAAAAACAAACAAACTGACACCCTACATTCCTACATGATCTGAACATCGGGGACAATTGGCTCATAAACAGCATCTGTCCTGAAAGCAGAGATATTTCGGGCATATTCAGTGTTATTATTGCCTGAAGAGAACAGCGATGAAGTGTGCAGTTTCCGGAAAAGAGGCCGAGGCATACCTCCAAGAAGGTGAATACAAGACATTGAAAATGTGTTGGCTATGAAAGCAAACATTCCTCAATATCCGTTCCATCATGTTCACATGTTTCAATTTCAATGATGAAATCCAACCAGGCACGATTGTCCTCTTTCATCAACGTTCCTGGTATATCATTTTGACGTCCTCGTGTTTTCAAACCAACTGACTGATTGATGGCAACTTTTCGCCTTTCTGGACGATAGTGTTATATTGCGCTAGGTGGAAGGGTGGGATTCAAAACCCATGGTGATGGTGAGTGTGACTAGCACGACCCACAATTATAGCATTGGATTTCAGGACCGTTGTTGTCAACATTTGTGTTTGTTTCTACTCAGATGCTCAGCTCTCATCCTTTCTGCAGTCATTACATCCTCCATTCTCATTCCCCTCCTGATGTTTCTCCTTCACACAACACGATCCATGGCAGTTAGTTGAATCCAGTTCATTCCAATTGTTTCCTCATGAAATACCTATTGGGCGTTCTCCATTCTCGTCTCCTCTGGATGTGCTCAAATATATCACCATCTCTTATAATCGTTGATACAAGCATTCTCCAGATATTTCTCTTATTTATTTTTAGCCTGTAAGACGGGCCTGCGTGCCCAATTTGTGACCCTTTGAAAATAAAGTTCGTTCGTCCAGCATTAAAGGAACAGAGGAAGTCGCCGTGGTGGAGCGACTAGACACTCGCCTGTAGATCGGAAGGTCGTGTGTTCGCTCCCTGGTGGAGCCGGACTTTTTTCAAACATGACCTTGGCTCCCAGATCGACCCAGCTTTGAGTGGGTACCGGGTGTAGTCCCGGGAAATAAAGGCAACCGGCGTAAAGCCTATCACATCATCCATTTTGTGCCGATTGGTCTATAAAATATTCTTTATACTCGTTGGTGACCATGTGAAATTTCGAATCATGATTGTTTGTCTATATATACTGAAATACGGCACGATGATGATGATGATCTATCAGTAGCACTTACGTTCTGTGTAAACCTCGGATAGGTCTAGCCCTATATGTCCTATACGCCCTTAAGGCGTGGAGTGAAAATGGTACTTTACTTTACTTTACTATCTTTACTCCAAGGGGTTTTATCCCATTTGGCTCGGTCTCTCTCAGCAAAACGGCTAGCCGCCTGCCTATAGCATCACACAGATCACGAACTCCGTAGCTCCGGCGACGATCCTCGGGGATTGCTGTAAAAATTGCACTCGTGAACTGAACGATACAGCTGTGAAACTAACCCACGACCTTCAGAGCGCGAGATAAACAGCTTGGCTGCTTCGCCACGGAAACCACCTTCTTCGTCGTTTTTGACAATGACAATAAAGTCGCACTCAGGACTAGATTAGGGCCTCACAGCGTAATATTCTTAAGGGCGTAATGTTCCTAAAGACAGCAGTGGGTGCATTATAGCCAGTGTTCATTGTGGAGATGGTACGCCTTTAGTAATAATTTCTTCTTTCCGGAACTTTCTTACTGCCCCTATGCTATCGGTGTCACCTCATGTGTCCAGACAAATCCAGGATAGGTGCTTGACTCTTCCATGAAATCCCATACATTTACTACAATTATCTACCAGACATAAAATGGTCAACTGCATCGATGATGTCGAGGCAAACTTCGGATCGAGCATCTGCAGAAATAAATGACGACGAACTTGGAGTTTTGTGAAACGTGGTGAATGTGGATGGGGGAGATTGTAATTGGTTGGAGATGAAATGACTCGCCGTTTCTGATAATGACGATGCTGGAGTTGGTCTTGGCCGGTTGAGTTCCAAGAAAGACGAATATTGTTCCGAGCGCTGGTGTTTTGTTCGCGGGAACGTCTGCATGAAAGATATACGTAGTGATTTCGGGGGATGCGTATCCACTTTGACGTCAGAGCCCAAATGTTTCGACAGTAATGGTTCTTCTACTGAGGATTTCCGATGTTCGTTGTTAGGTACAGATCTTCGTTTCTCCGCCATTGTTGGAATAGAGGTTCTTGGTACTACTGTGGTCACGGTGTCATCAAGGATTTCGTAACCCACCTCAAGCGGGTCCTGACTGACATGTCCTATAGAAAACTTTTTACGAGGTCGGGATAGTGTCGGTGATACCGCTGTAGATTTTGTTCCACGGAATGAAAACTTCTTTAGAGATTGGAAAAATTTAAATGAGGCGGGCTTCTTTTGAGTAGAAGATGGTCGCTTTTGTGGAAGAGCGGTGGAGTTTGTTGCTCCTGATGAGGGGATTTCAACAGCAACGCTTTCAGTTTTCCTATTAGATGAACGTCTTCGATGATGCCTTTTGGGGATTAGTAGTTGCATAGACTTAGAATGACCTTGTCTGTCATTTAACAAACTTTTTTCTTGTTCAGTGGTATCTTTATCGCCAGAAAAATGTTTGTTTTGAGATTGTTTTTCGCGCACTTTCTCACTAGATGCCGACATTCTGGAATTCTTTTCTATCAATGCTGTACGTTGTGTTACTTTTCTGTCTTTTCTCTCGACCTTTGCTGTATCATTTGGTATATTTATGTGCTCGTTTTCATTGTCAATACCTATCTGCGTCTCACTATCTTCATATGAAAGTCGTATAATGGGCATAGACGCATACTTGTTTTGAGCAGTTGGGTCAACGCTGATTTTTTGTACAGTGGAAGAAGACTGTCTTGTAGATGCCATTTCCATATCTGTGGACTTTGACGCACCCCTCTCTGACTTTCTATTTTTTGGTGTTTGTGAAGATGATTTCGAATGCTCCCAAGTTCTTTGATCTTTAAGTCTTTCAGGAAAGCTGGAAGGTTTCTTGCCTGTGGTAAGATAAGATTGAGTATTCTCGAAGCTGCCGTTGGCCTCCTTTGGGGATGCTTTATCTGGTTTTTTCTTGACTCCTGTGCGTCTGTCTGAAGAATTCTGGGCAGTCCTGGAGGTTGACATCGCGCCACCATCACTAGAGTGCCCTGATTTAGACATAACCTTAACAGGTTTGGCTTCAGAACTTCGCGATAAGTGAGCGATGACAGCAGTCTGGACGTTTGTGCTTTTGGGCCGTTCATGGTCGCCTCTGGACTGTGGTATAACTTCTGTATCCGGTCTAATATCAAAGTCGGGGCCACGTCGAAGGGATGTTTTAGCTGCAGGTGGTCGACGCCCATGAGCAGAGTCCATGGAGTGGGGCTTCCATTACCGTAGACTACACATTCCTGAAATGAGAAATAGGACACTGGCAAACAAAAAGACAAACAAGTTATCAATATACTAACATATGCTGAGGAAAGTAAAAAGTAAAGGATCCCTCCTGCCACAGTGTGATGGTAGTCCCATATTTTAAAGACCAATAGGCCCTCGGTGGGTAATGTGGTCAAAATTATGCCGACCCTCTTTATTTCCCAGGAAATTACCTGGTACCCATGTTGAAAAATCAATGTAAAATAAAAATTACAACCAAAAAAAAAAAGGAAAGAAAACATCGACCTCAGTAAGACCCTCGCTTAGGAGAGGTGAACAGAGAGTGTCAAAACAGGTAGTGAAATATGAAATAAATAGATTGAGAATATGGTGATTTCTAACAGAAGCTAACGACTAACGTTAACAAAAGAGGGTGCCAGAGTGAATTGCGACCACAATATTTAAAAGGTTGCACAAGATAGGAAGGAATCAAGGAATAGACTGCTAGCCCACCATGACATACAACAGCACAAGATAGGAAGGAATCAAGGAATAGACTGCTAACCATGACATACAACACACAAGATAGGAATAGACTGCTAGCCCACCATGACATACAACAGCACAAGATAGGAAGGAATCAAGGAATAGACTGCTAGCCCACCATGACATACAACAGCACAAGATAGGAAGGAATCAAGGAATAGACTGCTAGCCCACTGTCACATACAACAGCACAAGATAGGAAGGAATCAAGAAATAGACTGCTAGCCCACCGTGACATACAACAGCACAAGATAGGAAGGAATCAAGAAATAGACTGCTAGCCCACCATGACATACAACAGCACAAGATAGGAAGGAATCAGGAATAGACTGCTAGCCCACCATGACATACAACAGCACAAGATAGGAAGGAATCAAGGAATAGACTGCTAGCCCACCATGACATACAACAGCACAAGATAGGAAGGAATCAAGAAATAGACTGCTAGCCCACCATGACATACAACAGCACAAGATAGGAAGGAATCAGGGAATAGACTGCTAGCCCACCGTGACATAGAATAGCACAAGATAGGAAGGAATCAAGGAATAGACTGCTAGCCCGCCGTGACATAGAATAGCACAACAGAATGATGCTGGTGAATACACAAGATAGATATTTAAAATAAATGTTATATGTTGATGTAATAGATTCTACCCGTCTCGTAAAAAAGAGTACATAATTAGTGTCAAACCTTCAGGTATCTTCTTAAGAAAGGTAAACAAAGAAGGAAAGGAGGGGGGGGGGGGGGGCAATACGTCAATAATCAATAAATAAATAAATAGATCAGCATTGCCTTCACGAAAAGTCGCTCGCTTTATGCTACGCCTGTGTGCTATAAATGATAGTATGGACACCTTTAACCCTTTTAGAACGAAACATATGTTACCCTATCTCCTTCGATCCTATCCATTTGTTGCAAGAAACTACAAGGTCATGGGGGAGTAGTAGCAGTATATTTGACCCCACCAGGACATCACACAAGCGATAAACACCCGATGACACAGAGTGCCACCATGTGGATAAGGATCACCGTGGAGAGGTCCCAGAAACCGCGTTCAGCCATTAGACCATATTTATGGTCGGGCTATATTGCGGCCTTTGGCAAGAGACGTGGTGGAGCTTCAGAATAACAAAAAATTGCATCCCTACGAAGGAGAGACAAAGTATAATTCATGGTGGAGTTACCACTATTGAAAACAACAAAAAAGATGTTGAAATATTAAATGAAATACAACATATATACAACGTAAAACAGCCACCCTAGCTTTACTTGATGACGAATACCCACATAATCTTAGGGTTCGTGTCCATACGGATGGGTCAGCACAAAACGCAAGCAGAAAGGGAGGAGTAGGATTGTATATTGGGCATCCAAATAATACCAGATATACAGACAAAATACCTACAGGAAAGCACTGTCACAACTATCATGCAGAGGTTCAAGCCATCAAAACAGCAACAGAGAAACTGTTAAATATACATCATATTTCACAACCCGTGGTATTCCTGACAGATGTAAGAGCGGTGCTTCAGGCACTCCAGTCATAAAAACTAGCTGGTATATGAACACTACTCTCCAAACTAGGCAGCCTGTGTAAGAAACTATGCAATGGATACCATTTCACCGAGGAGTTCCTGGAAATGAAAGAGCTGATAAACTAGCTAAGGAAGATGTAAATGAAGAAATAGCCTACCTGTCGTACCAGTCTCTTATCAACAACAATAAAAAAAAAAAAAAAAAAGGATTAATCAAATCAATCAGAAAGCCCCCAAAAACGGCACAAGACGATTACCATTTTATGGACAACCAGAGCAGGTTATTATTCTACGCCAAAGAACAGGACACAATGAACTTCGCAGCCACGTGTACACAAAATTTAAATTGGCGAATCAGCCATGTGTACATGTGAACTGGCACCTGAGACAACCTATCGAGGCAAAACTTTTGGCCAAGAGAAACATCCGTACAAGCAAATTTACAGGTCGCTGGGTGAATTACAAAAGACAGCGAAGTTCATACTAGAGATAACATTGCAGATATAGATAATCTATATTTAAGCGAACGAAAGAAGAAGAAGAAGAAGAAGAAGAAGAAGAAGAAGAAGAAGAAGAAGAAGAAGAAGAAGAAGAAGAGAAGAAGAGGAGAAGAAGAAGAAGAAGAAGAGGAGGAGGAGGAGAAGAAGAAGAAGAAGAAGAAGAAGAAGAAGAAGAAGAAGAAGAAGAAGAAGAAGAAGAAGAAGAAGAAGAAGAAGAAGAAGAAGAAGAAGAAGAAGAAGAAGAAGAAGAAGAAGAAGAAGAAGAAGAAGAAAAAAAAAAGAGGAGGAGAAGAAGAAGAAGAAAAGAAGAAGAAGAAGAAGAAGAAGAAGAAGAAGAAGAAGAAGAAGAAGAAGAAGAAGAAGAAGAAGAAGAAGAAGAAGAAGAAGAAGAAGAAAAAGAAGAAGAAGGAATACAATATATTAATATTATATTGAAATAAAGCACATGGGATATTTTTAAAAGCATATCATTTAATGGTAATCATTAAACGCGTGGTGTGTTGCTTAGAACAGAATAAGTACATTTGTCTGGAGGGTTACCAGGGGCTGGGGTTGGTTCTGCATCATCATGTAATGAATACTCAATTATATTTAATCACCAGTAGCACCATGTGCTAGTTTTGTTTCGTTCAGTTAAACCAGTTATCAATTCTCATGTTACTCTGGCACACTTCCGCTTATACACAAGCCAGGTTTTGTGAGACTGGTAGTATGATGCACAGGGCTGCCGAAGTTAGTACTTTTGTACTAATTTGGTACTGCTTGACTCTTGTCGAACAAAACTGTTTTGGTACGTTTAGAAATTTTGAATCAATATTCTAAATGTTGGCCTTGTATGCTGGATTTAGTAAGTGTCACTGAAGGAAAACCGACGCCAGTTATGTTATGAAATTTCCCAGCCTGTTTAAAAAAAAACATCATAAACAAATAAATTAGTTGTAGTAGTACGTTTTACCCCACCTGCACATCACACAAGCGATAAACGCCAGATCACACAAAGTGCCACCATGTGGGTGAAGATCGCCCATTGAGAGGTCCCCGAAAATCGCGTTCAGCCATTAGAAAATATTTATGACCGGGCTATATTGCGGCCTTTGGCAAGAGCCAGGATGGGGCTTCAAAATAACGAAAAATTGCATCCCATAAGGAGATAGCTGGTTAAGGTTACAAAAAAATAAAAAATAGAGAGAACTAATGCTGAGAAAATACCGACCCACACTTAATTTACAATTTCAGTTAAGAGGAAAATCGCTTTGCATTTATGCTTAGTAGTCTACTGGCATTCCTCATTCCTCTGCAGTTGTAGAAAGATTTTTTTTCTGTGCTATTTTCAATTTTAAGATTAAAACATCTCTCTTCTTTGAAGACTTCAACAACAAATGTATTGATGAGATCAAATATATATGTTTGTCTGTGTGTGTTTGTGTGTGTGTGTGTGTGTGTGTGTGTGTGTGTGTGTGTGTGTGTGTGTGTGTGTGTGTGTTTAAATTTGTAACGGGTTTTTTCAATTAAAAAAATTAGGACACTGCTACCTTTTTTATGTGTTTTGGTACATTTTTAAAAACAATTTGGTACTATTTCCAAAATAATTTCGACAACCCTGGCCATGACGTCTGCTGGCAGGTAGGGTAAATGATAAATGGCTTGGAGATGCCAAGGAGAGACAGAAAAAGGGCGTTGTTGACAATTTCAGTACGTGCTGTGTGTACTCACGCTATGGGAAGACATACATAAACATATCAACTCACTGTTTATATCTATGTACTCTTCGTGGTATTACTTATTTCTCTAAATTTAGACATATCTCAGGATCTTATCCTTTGTCCAGCCATCCTTCCTTCTGTGTTTTTTTTTCTATCTTCAAATTTAATATATATCTATCTATCTATCTATCTATCTATCTATCTATCTATCTATCTATCTATCTATCTATCTATCTATCTATCTATCTATCTATCTATCTATCTATCTATCTATCTATCTATCTATCTATCTATCTATCTATCTATCTATCTATCTATCTATCTATCTATCTATCTATCTATCTATCTATCTATCTATCTATCTATCTATCTATCTATCTATCTATCTATCTATCTATCTATCTATCTATCTATCTATCTATCTATCTATCTATCTATCTATCTATCTATCTATCTATCTATCTATCTATCTATCTATCTATCTATCTATCTATCTATCTATCTCTCTCTCTATATATATATATATATCTCTATCTCTATCTCTATCTATCTATCTATCTATCTATCTATCTATCTATCTATCTATCTATCTATCTATCTATCTATCTATCTATCTATCTATCTATCTATCTATCTATCTATCTATCTATCTATCTATCTATCTATCTATCTATCTATCTATCTATCTATCTATCTATCTATCTATCTATCT